TTACTCGAGATCTTGAAAGGCTTCTATGCATAAGGGTGTCTGGCCCTTATGACAAGCTTTCTCTATCAGTCTGAGATGGCTGCAAGTTCCTATGGAATGAAAGATGAAGCAGGGCAGAAGGGGGAAACAGGGAGCAACATCAGTGAGATAACTTGGTAGATGATGATATAAAGAGTTTTGGGGGGAAATGTGAGGTGTAGCTGTGTACTTCAGTTACAATAAATGCTGATGCTGACTCAGGTTCTGAAAGAACTTGAATATGACAATATCAACTGCAAAGTGAAAGGAAAGATGAGGCAAGCAGATGGCAGTCATTATTGTCGTAGACCTTGTCTCAAGATGGTGCTACTGTGCGCTGGAAGAGGGCAAGTAGGGGGAAAAAACAGGGTAAGAAGAGGAAAAGCTGATGTCATAGAGATGGAAGCCATCTCGGGGATTTTTATCAGGGAGGGATGTAATGGTTAAACAAGCCAGAGAAATGCAGTTAAATGCACTGAGTTAGGTGGCAGCAACTTTTGAGAAATGAAATGCAAGAAGTTAAAGTAAGGCTAGAAAACATAAGTTCTAGTTATTGGACTGGGATTTGGTAAATCTCCCAGATTAAGGATCTATTACAAAATGAAGGATAAAGAAGCATTTGGAAAAGTTTTGAGTTGATTCTGGGCCCTTCTCTAAGTCAGCTGCAGAGAAGACGTCAGAGAAGACAGACCAGGATGGAAGGAAGCAACCAATGCAGAGATGGCAGCTAAGGCTTGTGTAGCTCTCTTGTCACCTTGGATATTTCATGTAAGTGTATTTTCAAGGAGCAGGTAGCAGCTGCGATATAAAACTGTTCTCTGCAACTTGTATTTTTGTAGGATGTATTTTTCTAAAAGATACCAGTATCAGGTGTGGTTCAGTTACATTTTATTGGTGGCTGTTAGATCACATCAAGCTCAAATAATATACTTAATAGCCTTTGAATTGTGGAACAAAAGTTGCATTCCTGAGGACACTTACCTGTATTACTCACTGGAACAGTTTTGGGTGTTTACAGGCTGCAAATATTTGGCAGGCTTGTGAATGCCAGGATAGCGAGGCACAGCAGCACTTGGAAATCGGTTCAGGGGAGAGGAATGGAAATTAATTTGTCTTTTTCTCAAGGTTAATACTTAATAAAATACAATTAACAACAACAAAAAATCACACCAAAAAACCTGAAGTGTGACTCTCTTTTAATAAACATCCTGGGGTTTTTTTCCCCTTCCACTGGCTGGAATATGGGACTCATTGCTGAAGCTAACTGGACTTACACCATCGTTTCTCTGAGGACATTAGAGAAGATCTCTTTGAAGTCAGTTTCTAAGCTGGTAGCTAGAAAGACATGGAGCATTTGTAAAGTTGCCATTTACAAATCCCATTTGAGGAAGTAATGGACATCCTTACCAAATCTCTCTTCTGTATTTACTTATTATATAAGCTTCTCTACTTGACTAAAGGCTGTACTAGTAGATCATCAAAGAGCACCTTAAAACTGTGAGAGTAAACACTTTGAGTTATAATGTTTTGAATTTCCCAAATAGAACAGACTAGTTTTCTAGCTACAATGCCTGATTGATATGAAAGCTAAACTTTTGTAGCCTCAATACAACTTTTTCCTTTAGTAAAATGGTAGTCACACCTGCTTTCTCTTACTTTATAAAACAATTGGACAGGAGAGAATCTCTCTAAGAGGCTTAGCTCTTAGGACGTGCATAGATACCACTTAGCATCATGTGGCAACTGCAATGCAAGTAAGTAATGCTTGATTACTGAGATTCTAGTTCACAGTGACTTGGTTATACCTGTCCTGTCTTCTGTTAAAGGACAAATGCAGCTTTGTGACATTGACTTGATCTTTACTTGTAGATGTAAATCTAGCAGGCATCTAAAACTGCTACCATTACACTTGTCCTTTGTTCTGCCTTGCTGTGCTAAAGAAAGAGCTTTTGCTTTCATATCAGATGATAATGCATAGAAAGTTAATAGTCAAAAAGTAATGTGTTGGTTCTGTGACAGTTAAGGCTGGTGTTAAGATTCTTACCTGTTCCATATATATATTTAAATATTTAGTTCCTACCAGGAGGAAAAGCAAGTGGAAGAACAGAATGTCCTAACAAGCATGCCATCCTGGATTTGCTCAGAGTTTAAGCTCAGACTCAGGTAACGAATCAGTTCCAAACTGAAAAAGCAAGTAGTACATTGATACGGAAATAAGCAGCCCGTGCCTACAGCTTTGCTGTTTCTATTGGAGTCAAGCTGAAATCTGCTTAAATAACCAAAGTAAAATGGTATAAGGACAGAGCTTAAGCGTGACTGGAATGTCTTCCAAATTTACAGCCAAATAAGAAGGAGGGAGATGAAGTTTTCAGGAAATTACATCTGTCCCCTTTGCCTTCAGTTCACACCCATTCCCAAAACAACATAGCTGCTCATGGGATGCATGATGTCCTCTCTTCGTTTATTCTCTCAGGCCAAAATTTATTTTTGATTGTACTCATGTGATTTGATGCAAGGAGAAAGCTTGGGGATGTGGGGGGAAAGGAGTGTTAACTTCCGATAACCTGTAATAAGGAAAGGCGAGTAATTTGAGAATGTGCCCTTCCCACACATTGCAGTTTGTCTTCCTCTTGTACTGAAAGTCATAAGCATCTGGACAAACAGGAAGCCCTGTCAGCATCCTTAAAGGACCCAGAAGGAAGCTGCGAGGGCATGGCCACAAGACTGGATAGTTCATTTTTCTTAGGGTTTCATGTTGTCCTGAATCCAGTCAAGATAACGATTCACATTTGTATAAACGCCAGGTATGTCTTTGCGGCCGCAGCCTATTCCCCAGCTGATGATTCCAATTAGATACATACGATCATCCTTCATACAGACCAGAGGCCCTCCAGAGTCACCCTACAGAGAAGTAGCAGGTTAGTAACAATCTCCTTTTTTGTTTGTTTGGTTTTGTGTTGTTTTTTCCCCCCAGTGGCTTTAGTGGTGCACTAGTGTCTATGGAAATACCCTATGTAGTATGCTTATGAATCAAGAGCTCTTAGTAACAGCACTTTCACATAAGCCACTTTTGTGTCCCAGACTCCCTCAATGCTCCTTTCATGGGGAGAGACCCCAAAAAATCTAACACTAAAGCATCTAACTTTGTATGGTGCTCATTTATGACATGTAGGTGAGACGTTGATAAGCACAGAAAGAGGACTGCTCTTATTCAAGCTGTAAAGATCCAGGGTGTTTTATACTGCTGTGTGTAACAACAAAGCAAAATTATTAAAGAGCTGTTCAAACAAAAGGATGTGGATTGAATGTGTGCCCTCCTTTTTCCTCATGTTACAGCTGCTTGTTCTCCACCATCTTTTGGTC